TCATTTCAAATTATGTATTCATTTCAAATTATGTATTTATTTCAGTTATGTATCATTCCAAATTTTGTATTCATTTCAAATTATGTATCTGTTTGCTAATATCAATAAACGGCTGGGATCACATAGTGGGGAGATGGCGCTAAACCAATTAACCAAAAGGTAAAGGTGTGGTGCCTGTCTTCCCCGTTCCTAAATCCTAAATAATTATAATTATAGATTCTAATTCCAGACTTGGAAATACTCATCATCTTAATATGAAAATTTTTTTCTAATTGATAATAAAAGGTGAGAAGCTGTATAATTTAAATTCCTCATGGATTGTCGTGGTCTCCAAGTGATGGATTTCCCCATGGTCAAGCAGCCTGTAGACACGGCTCTTGGTACCTCAAGGATAAACAAATGCTCCAAACTATCTAAAAGCCATTAAATAAGCAAATCATGAATGATAACATACTACTAATCACAGCAGCTTTAAAAAAAGTTCCCAAGCCCCAAAATAACAATAAATAAATTCCTAAAATGTATCAATACAGGATTATTATGACTACATTTTACATAGCTATCCTAGCTACATCCAGGTGCTGCAAAGGTTTTTATATGGTTTAGAAAAAAGAAAATCTTGGACCATCTTCAAATACTGGTAGTCTAGATTTAAAATTCTGGATTATGGAGCATTAACAGCCATATGAACCTTCAGCCAATCATGGATAACATCAATACAAGTTAACATAATTTTTTGGTCATAAAAACACATGCATCCCATGAACACAGATATTATATGAAAGTTTATTTTTCCAAATCTTCATGGGCATTGATAGATGTTTGATGTGAGCACATTTTTTTGAGATCACATTGAGACTCAACAGTGTCACCTATTCACTGCTTTAACTACTGTTTAGGATGATACAAATGTCTTGCCCTTTTATCTACCCCAAAAGAAAAAATTGTAATGTTATGTTATGTTACCTGAGAGAACATCAGAGGCATATTATTTAAATCATCACAACCAATTAACATTAATGGCATAGCATTCCAGAACATCAATGGTGTATCATTCCAGCATATCAATGGTACTCCATTCTAATCTTCATAACAAAATGGCCAGTATGGTAATCACATGTGGTCAGTATAGCAAAGCACCATCTTGCTATAAAATGAAATCAAGAACTTGTCTTCCCAGTTGAATCTCAACAACCATACAGACAGCATATCAGAATGAATGAGCCCTGTAACTGGGATCCTATGAAGAAGTCAAACGTACAGCACTTGGTTATAGTGTAGAAACATTTAACTTCAGAGATTCACATTCCTATTAGAGTGTGGCTTTTGGACTTCTGTGATCCAGAACTTCAAATTATGCCTGTACACACTGCCTTGTAGCTAAAAACTTGGCTTTATCAGTGAGCATGAGTCTTTCTGCAAATCTATCAGCATGCTTGCAAATTCAGCAGAAATCTTTGTTTTAGTTTGTTGGTAGTTTTTAGCATGTATAACACATGCTACAATAATGTGTACAGTGCATTAAGTTGTTTGCTGGCATGATACGTGGATTTTCTGAAGCTTTGTAGGTAATCCACACTAAATTTTCTATGGGATGCCTTTATAAGAAAACGCCATTATAAAGGAGGCCTCACCCTTACGCAGGGTGCTCACAATTCAAAATAATAGAAACCTTCATAAGGGTGCCCCACCATAAAGTGCTAGCAAAATTATGAAGACCACTTTCTAACTTGAAAAAAAGCAAATTAAATTAGAGTGTGAACACCTTTATGGAAGTCTGATTTTCATTTACATTATAATTTAGGTTCACATATTTACCTAACAATTTTTTTTCTTAATAAAATTTGCTCGATAATTTTTTATTTAAACTATATCTTTACTGTTCTTATTCAAAAGTTTAATCACACATGCTCAAAGTGACTGAAGAAATTTGCATTGTTATAACAATGTACATACGGAAGAAAAAAAGAGCATGAGCTTTTATTAAATGAATGCTTTTATATTTGAAATCTGTGCACTGCTTATTCCCATATTTACTTTTTAATTCATACTTATAATAAGATTTTTTATATAATATAATTTAATATTCATCAGTAACAAATAAAATACATTTATAATGGCATCACTTTTACTAAACTTCATTGCTCAAATAATGAAAATTGGGTTTTTTAATTCAGGTAATATGTATGATTATTATGCATTATGAATTTATCTAAATGAAAAGAGCAACAAAAGTATAAGCGATAAAAATTAATGCAGAGGTGTTTTATTATCTTGTACATATGCCTCAAATAAATAAACACTGATAATTTAAAATGATTCAGAAATTGACTTTCAAATTTTACAGAATTAATGAAAACTTATGCATTTGATATACAAAATTAATATAAATACATACAAAATTCAATCATTAACATTTAATATTTATTTACATAAAAACATATTTTTATCAGACAAAAGTGTTAAAGTTGAGTCAGCTATTTGAGTTCATTTTTACTAATAAAATCCCCAGTAATTAAGATACTGAATTTGTTTTTCTTTATAGGAGGTTTAAACACACACAATATCCTTCAGCTGTTCCAGGTTTGCTGTACAATTGCCAGTTATTTTGGAAATATAAAACAGAGTGAAGCATTAGACAAATTTAATTGATTTTAAAGAGACAGTTCCTATCTCATATTCAAGAAAATCGGGAGAACAAGATTTTCATCACTGCTAGGAACAGAATTTGGCTGCTTCTGAAAATATTTAAATATAGAAATATTTTTCATATAAAATCAAGAAGTTTATTATCCATAGCTTATTAAAGGATACTTTATTAATTACCTTATTAAAGAACACTTTATTAGTTGGACTTTTTGTTACACCAAATCCATATAAAAAGTTAAATTTTATGTTTACAGAATCCTCTATCCCATAAAAATTACCTTATCTTGAGAGAACTTAGGACTAGGAATATAGAAGTAATATTTGAAAAAATAAAATCCACAGCCATCTAATTTTTTTAATATGCTGTGTATAGGAAGGAAGTGTACAATTTTAAAAAGAGACAAATTCTTCTACAAACAGTAAATTTAATTCTGATTAAGAGGGTAAAAGAATACTTATATTCCTTGAAAAAAGGGAGATCTGCATCCTTTGAAATGTAGAGATTTTTTTTACAAAACTAAAGTTGTAATTTATTTAGCTTTCAAAAAAATTATTTGCAAAAATGCTCCCATTCAATAATTTTTAATAAGTGCAGTTTTCAAAAATAAAGGTGAAAATGTGAGTGACAACTTTGCATCAAGTTATATATTTGCAAAAGTTTTTAATTTGTTATATGCATGCAATATTCATGTTACCGTGAAAGACCAAAACTGGAGAATTTCGACTTTCACCGGAGAATGTCAACATTTATCAAAATGTCGGTGAAAGATCAAATATTGTATTACATTTTTGTACATTTGGACCCTCACTGGTGTATGTCGACAATCACAAATATGCTCTGGTGTAGGTCGAAAGGGAAGGAGTAGACAAAGAGGCAACTGGCTGTTTCCCGCCAAATCCTTTGTTCTCGGGAGGGGGGGGGGAAGTCAGTCAACTTTGTCAGTCTTACGCAAGGTTTGATGGTGCAAGCAACATTTTTTTAATTCCCCCCCAGGATATCCTAATTTATACAGAATGGATACAGCAGTGAATCGTGATCTTTTTCTTGAAAAGTTAAATGCATTAATTGTTGGTAAACGAGAAGACAATTGTTTTTATTTTTCTCAAGAAAAGTACTCTAAAATACTCTAAAAACTAAGTGCAACACATCTTTGGATTACAGACGATTAAAACGTTTTGACATTTTAAAAATTAATGACGAAGAGAAGTTATTTGTACCATTAAAACCAGAGAAAAGAATAACGTATTCGTATGTTACCAATGGAATTCATATACTATATGAAATAGGAATAGGCCACGGAGGAAGAACACGTATGCTTAAAGAGTTGCAAATTAAATAAAAAAATATTACATATGAAGTTATAATTAAATTTATGCAAATAGTGTCAAATGAAACACAGTGCACCTAAGAAAGGTATTATTGTGAACTCAATGATCAGTTCTGAGTTAAACTCAAGATGTCAAGTTGATCTGATAGATCTGCAGTCAAACAGACATGGCAAATACAGTCAAAAGTCATTAATTCGGACACCCATAATCCGGACCTCAAAGCTACAAACTTTCTGCGCATGAGTCATGCACGTAAGACCTTTACGGCTGCGAATATGCGTCTGCACATGCCCAAAATATGTTACGCATGGCGAATGTATGCATGTCTAAGCTAAAATTATCTAATTCGTTAATGTGCGATTGTGTGTTCCTAATCTTCGAATTGGATCCGGCTTATTATTTTTTGCAGCTGTTAGAGCAATTTATAAAAAAGTAAGCTTGAACTTTCGATTATGTCAAATAGAATTCTGTATTATTTACTAAATTGTAAAGGATCTAAAAGCGAAAGTATGTTTTGAAGTCCATTAAACCAAAAAGTGCAATTGCTGCAAAAAATGGATAAAGCATATCCTTTGTTATTTAACCATTCCGAAAATCTGCTTATCAATTTTCACGCTGCTCTGTGGCCGGGGGGGGGGGGGGGACGCAGCGGCACGCCTGATTGGAAGTTGATCTGTCAGCTATCCTTTCTTCGGGCAGAATGTTTTATTTTATTTGGCTTAATTCCTTACAATTAGTATTTCTTGATTACTGTCTTTGTATGATTTAAACAAATTCCTCGTCATTATAATTCACTTCGATAGCAAAGAAAGTAAAGTAAACAAATAAATATTAAGTTTTTTTGGTAAATTTTGATCCCTTTAGATCATAATTGTTCTTTATTTCATAAATTACAGTTTCATATTTTTAATTTTATAATTTCTGCATGCAATCTTACCAGATTTAAACTGATGACCTATAATCCAGAATCGCCAAAGTCCCGAAGAGTCCGGATTAACGACTTTTGACTGTATAAGTTCATAATGGTGTATCAAGATCATTTAACTAAGTTTGCTCAGCTACGACCTTTGAAAACTAAGAGATCTGAAGAAGTAGTGTATCACGTTCTTGCAATATTTTTAACATTTGGCACTACAGCAATATTGCAATCAGATAATGGTAGCGAATTCAGTAATCAAGTCATATCCCAAATGCGCGCTATGTGGAAAGATGTTAAGATAGTTCATGGAAAGCCTCGTCACAGTCAAACACAAGGCTCAGTTGAAAGGGCCAATCAGGATATACAGAATATGCTAACTGCACTGATGAACAATAACGATACAAATAAATGGAGAGAAGGTTTACCCTTTGTTCAATTTGGCAAGAACACTACATAAGAATACGCCAAAGTCCTTATGAAGCCATGTTTGGCATTAAAGCAAAAAGAGGCATAGCATCGTCTTTTTGCCTAGCATACAAATCGCAAATATCGAAACCGAAGAATAACTCAAAGAAATTGCCAATACTTTTGAAACCGAAGAACAGCTTGAAGAAGTTAGTAATATTTCTGAAAAAAATTTGAGCGGCGGTCATACCAAAAACCATATTCCAAAGAAGAGAACTTGCAATCTACCACGTCTTCACATCAAGTTCTGACTGAAAAACACGAGTTGATTTCTATAAAAAGAGTGGCTGTGAAAGAGAATCTTCAACTGCAAGCAACAAAAATGTTACGAACCTCACAAAAACAATTTCCTCCTGCTCAAATTAGTGATACTGTATGAATACAAGTCCAAGATTTCGACCGTGGTTGCACAGATAACCACAGTGTATTAGCGGTTGTTGTTAGAATAGAAGACTCCGACTTCTGTAAACTTGCAAACAAAAATGGAACCCTTAAGCAGCTTTGCACACAAAAGCAGCTCATAATTTGTAAAGAAAAGCTACTTTCCATAGATGAAAAGCAAGGCTATACACGCTGTCATTGTAAAAGGAAGTGTTTTACAAATAAATGCAGTTGTAAAAGCAAGTTCCTCTTGTAAAATTCAAAGTGTCACAATAGTTTAAGTTGTTGCAATAAATAAGATTTGAATCACATAGTTTAGTAAGTTTTTATTACTATTATTTTATTTTCTTATTAGAACGTATGTAATTAAGTAGTTTTTAACTTCTATTATTTTCCTTTCCATTTTGAATGTACGTGTGTTTTAAGTTCTATTAAATTCAAGCGTGTTTTCTCGTACTTGAATTAAGGAGAAGAAAAAATAATTCTCATATGTTCAACATTCACCATTAGTACATGGTGAATGTCAACATTTACTGGTGTAAGTCAGAAATAAGAGTATTTGGAAAATATTTGGATATACACCAAGCAACTATGTGAATGTTGACATTCACTGGTGAAAGTCAACATTCTCTAGATTTCGGTGTTTCACCGTAACATTCATATTAAACAAAATAATTTTCATTTTGCGAAGATTCATCAATGTGAATATAAGGACTATAAAAATAATTTATTTCTTTTATCTGTCTTTAAGAGAATACAAGAGATCCTTTTAATCCAAGATGTTTAACATAAGTACTATGTACTAAGAAATTTTTCTAAAAATGTTTAAACATTATTTAACATAATTGTGAAAATATGCTTATATACAATCATTGTTTCAAAAGAATAAATAGTAAAGTTAAATTAAATTTAAATAATTCTCTTGTGCCAGTTCTGCAAGGAATGAAATTTGAATTTAACAAACATTCTCTATTCGTAAAAAGCAAATTAAAGTTAATTACATTTTAAATAATGAAATTTAATTGCAAACAAATAAATGAATTTAAATGATATTGTAGATTGCTGCAAACTAATCTACAATATCATTTAAATTCTGAGAGCATATGTAAATCAAGTGCAAGTATTTATGTTAAATAAATGCATTTAATACTTCTAATCTTTTATTAATATATTCACAGCTTCATATATTTTTGCCAGCATTTCATTCATGTGAATCAAATTTGTATTAAAAAGAATAACAAAATACAATGAGTTGCAATAAACTCATTGTAAAATACAATGAGTTGCAATAAATAATAAACCAGCAAAAATATGATATGTATTGCACTTACAGGTTGCTGCCCACTGGTGACAACAAATACAAAGTTTCAGCTCTAAACACAAACTGAATGCCTTAAAATAGAGGAACAATATATGATTAAGGAGAGAATTTACATCAAATGCAGTATTTTTTAAATGAATTTTTGAAGTACACAAATTTAACACTATCAGAAATTTCACTAGAAATTTATTTAGTGCAAAAATTCTTTTCAAGAACATTTTATGCTCTCTATTTGTAAAATGACTGAAGAATTTAAAAATGTAAAAAGGCTTATTTTGTAAATAGGCTTCAAAGCCTCAGTTTCTTCAGTTAGGTTTCTCATATTAAATGGTTGTTAATTACATAATAATCAGAAAACATTTAGAAAAACTCGGAAAACAGATACATGGATATGGTTACACAAACTTATCAGGTCGTCATTAAGCCCATGAAATTTTTTTTATCTATCTCACAAAATGTATTTAGTTTTCGCAATTTAAATTAATACCAAATCGAGGTATTTCACCAAACATAAAATTTGTTACTCAAGAAATTTCACATACTTAAAAGTGTGGTATACTTCTCTTAAAAATACTTACTTTAATCAGGTTCAAACCTATCAATAAGGGAGTGGTAGGACTGGACACTATCAAAGTTCATAGAAGCAACAATAAAATCATGTCAGTGATGAAACAAATGAGTTTTAAAATCTCAAAAGTTAAATATTATTTCCAAGATATAAATATTAGACTGAAAATATACATCGAAAATTCAATCAAAACTCTCTTGAATTTAATACATATATGTAATAATTTAGAAATGTTGATGTTGTAGTTGATGCATAACGAAGAACTTGCAATCATATAAAAAACATGTAAATCCGAATACTAACTTAAATTTGCAATAATCCCTTCACTCTTCATCTTTTACATATATATATATATACACTCAATTTTTTAATAATTCCATGGATAACGGAATTAAATTATGGCAAAATATCTTCAAAATACTTATATATTTTCCAATTTAAAATACACATACGCTTAAACAGATAAAAAAATATATTTGAATGCAAGGTAGAATAGAGAATTTCAATAACAATCAGGTGTATCATTCATAGAATTCTTAATGTCAGTTTCTTTAGCAGCAATTATGTCTTCTAACAAAGATATTGAACAATCCGAAAAATTTTCTAATGATTTATCATCATTAAACAAAAGAGAATCAATCTTTACAGACCAAAGATGAATCCAGAATGAATTAATGGGACAAGATATTGTTTTTAACTCTGCAGAAGAATTACTAAATTTACAATCAGAGATTTTATCATAGTCTGGTGGTCTTGATATGCTTGTAATCAACTGAGCTGTTGTTGAATTCATCACATTATCAATTCCTGCAATTTTCTCCTCCTCACTAAATTTAAGCATAATACCTGAAGGGTTTTCATTAGGCAGTATCACATTTTCTTCTTCAAATGATATGAAATCTTGTGTAAGTCCTAAGCCCAGCAGTTTCTTACGAAGCTCATGCATAATTGTAGCAGCTTTATATTGCACAGATGGATCATAATCATGTATAGCAAATAATAATGATGAACCAAACCCTGACTGACACAGACATTTTATATAATTAAGTACATCCTCAGGAGATGATACAAGTGGAAAATACATATTGCAGTCCATTAGAGATTTCCACGAGTCTAATGCAATGAGTTTTAGTTCTAAATCTAAGCTTTTAACAGAAAAAGTAAAAATACAGAACAACCTTTCTTTGCATATTAATGGCATATCATCCCATTTAGAACGCATCCAGTGAAATAAACATACCACAGATTCCCTCTGGACAAAGAAATCTGGATCATAAGCATAATTATATAAAATCTTTACAATATTAATCTGAAAAAGAAAAATTAAGATTTAATTTTGTACACCAACATCAAGATTTTTTTTGACATTTACAACAAAATTTCAATTTTTTATAAAATCAAAAATAATTGTTTTGAGTACGCTTTTGCCCTTTATAAAATAATAATTTATAAGCGAGTCAGAGAGTTACAGTTCTTTGACATAACTTGTATAATGTGAAACTTTTTTTTTTTTTTACTTGAAAGGCATGATTTTATAATTTATGTTTTTTGACATTTAAACTTCCCATGTACTTTCCCACTCAATAAATCATAAACCAAAACAAGCCTTTACAATTAGTGGAAGAAAAAATATAAAAACGTATAAATTTTGAAAAGAGAAAAAACATACAAGGTACAAATTAATCAGGGGTAAAGAAGTTCAGGGTACAAAGAACAGAATTAAATTTAGAATATGAGAACCAATTAATCACATCCATGTCTACTCTTTAGGCTGGCTACCAATGAATAAACATGACACAAATATCAGGTGTGAGATTAAGATAGCTATTAATGACATAAAGAACTCTGGTAGTTTTTAATATTTTCCTACCACCGCCAATTATCTAAATTTAGCACATATGTTATAATTGTGAGCCAATTTCAGTTTATGGATATTTCATCTTTTTGACAACACAGAACTTCAAATTAATTACTAGGTTCATTGATTTTACAGATATAAAGGCAAAAACTGTCAGATTTAAAAGTTCACCTAATTAAATGGCAGCTACAGGCTTATTTTCTTATATATTGATTCTAGACATGTATTTCCAGTTATAAATTTGGTTAAAATAAGGTAGAGAATTCTTGTCATTTTTTGGCAAAGATTCCATAAATACAAAATCTGAACTTTTTTTATGATAGCAATACAACAAGTTTAATCAGAAAAATATTCATTATATTTTCATTAATTAAATACATAATGTTTTATACCTTTAAAGCAAAATTTACAGAAGTATCAAAATTAATATTTTCTCTGGGACAGCAAAAATTTAATAACTTCAATATAAAGTCTATAATCACCAAAAACACAACTTTTGTTTTGTAGCTGCTCTATAATTGTCACAAAACGTTTTAATATGTATCACTCTCCTAACCAAGGATGTCTGCCAGAATCATTTTTAGATCTGAGGCATGACAATATTTCAAGCATTTTTCTAGGTGACCTCAATGCCCAACACCATTTATGGAGGTGTTCAGTTACTAATAATAGAGTTGATGATCTCTTAAAACAGTCTCTCAGCAGATAACAGATCCCACTTGTTTTTGAATAACAACTCTTATATTTATTGCTCATTCAGCAACAATAGTGCTGAAACCCTGGACATCCACATTTGTAAATGCTGATTTATACTCAATATGCTAGTGGACTGTCCTAAATATCATAGGCAGAGATCATATACCAATACTGATTGAGATTAAGAGTAAAGGATTGATTCCTACTGTTAAAGAAAGTTTTTGGAATTTTATAGAGTAAACTGGCTGGCTATTTTGGAATTGACTGAACAGGATTTTTGCGATATCAGTTTTAATGATGACCTTAAGGCTGATTGAAATTTCTTTAAAGACATTGTTATTCATTGTGCTAAACAGTCTATTCCTAGAGGTAATTTTATACAGCCTAGGAACTTGTACTCATTTGGTTCCTCTGAAATCACAGCTTTAATTTGAACAAAGGAATTTGCTGTTTCACAGGACCTTAAAAATTCTAATAGTAGCGACCATAGAATCAAATTTAACAAAAGTAATGCAGAGCTTAAATGAGCCTATGCTATCAATAAAAGGAAGCTTGGAGTGAAATGTGCAGTGATGTTGAGGCTAGAGCATCTAACTCACAGCTGTGAAACCTTGTAAAAGCTCTATGTAAAAAATGTTGTCAAATGGAAGTCTGTAATACTATAATTGATCCAAATGGACAATTACCGCACAATGATAAGCTGCTGCTGATATTCTAGATGGCTATTACAAGTTAATGACCAAACTGACGTTAAAAAAAAATGAAAAACTGATCGAAAGGATTGAGAGACTTATGCCTCATTAATGCTGCAGCTCAGGCATTGGGGACTTGATTTTTAGAATTGATTTCATAATGCATGAGCTGGATGTTGTCTTGAGAAATGTCAATCCAAAGATCCCCGGGGCCTGATAACATAAATGGCCAAATGCTTTTGCATCTGTACCCTAATGGTAAACTTAGACTGTTGGATATCTTTAAACAGTCATGGAGGAGGGGTCGTCTACTACTTAATTGGAAAACAGCTATCGTTAATCCAATTAGGAAGACAGATAAAGTTCCTAGCTCACTTGATAGTTACCGATCTGTCTCCTTGACCTGTATTCCATGTAAAATTATGGTAAAGATATTGCTAAATAAACTGAATTACTATCTTCAGTCAAATAACCTGCTTTCAAAGGAACAATACGGTTACAGGAAAGGACATTGTACCATTGATCAAATATTTGCCAGAGTATTAGAAACGCCCATAATTTAAGGCCTACTATTCATATAGTGGCTGTCTTCCTGGACTTACCAAGGATGATATGATATAGGCATAATAAAGATAGATAGGGTAGGGTATGATAAACTTATTGTTAATATTTTTGATATTAACAATAAGTTTATAGGGTATGGCATAATAAACTTATTGTTAATATTTTTGATGATTATGGTGTGAGAGGCAATGCTTTACCCTGGATTTCTAATTTTCTGAAAGCCAGAACAATCAGGGTTAATTTAATAAGACCCTATCTGAAGACTTCAGACTTAGTCAGGGTTTACCCCAAGGCTCAGTCATGAGCCCTTTAATTTTCCCCCTTTTCTTTGCTGGAATCAAAAAGGTGATATCTATATGAGAAGTTAAGTTGGCATTTTTGCCGACGATGCTGCCCTCTGGCACTCTAGCTCTGTTATCAAAAGCATTGAAGCTAACATTAACTTCACTCTTAAAGATGTGAGTGCTTTCACTGATGTGCACAAGTTGACTTTCAGTACTTCCAAATCTGTGAATAGTTTTTATACTACTATTAACCCTTTTGCCGTCCACTCCTGTCCGCGAAAATTCCCCCAGCGGCCGTCTGTTTTTCGTAACGTTGTTTTCTCTGTACATCATAACTTTCCATACATGATTTTTGTAGTGGATGAATGCCAATGAATACTAAGTAAAATTATAAGGAAATAAAGCATAATGGAAAAATAATAATATCTCTGCTTATTTCGAACAGCAGGACAATTTGATAACATCTGACCCAGGCGGTGCACTCCTCCCATTTTGTTGTTGTAATCTTTTACAATTATTGTTTTTTTTTTTTTTTTTTTTTTTTTACAGTTCTTTTCCGTGTTCCAACATCAATCATCGAGTTATTATGGACTGTACTCATCAAACATATATCCTTATTGTCATTCCAATTCACAACCTCATTTCTTATCTTTTTCTGCTAAGTAGACATTGAAGCCATCTCTCACTGTCTTGTATCTTATATAAAATGGCACGAATATTCATAAAACCCAGGGCAAATTCAATTAGAAATAGAATGCCTGACTAGTGCTGCCCTCTAAAAGGTATTAGAACAAACAAAAATAATAACTCAAACAAGTAAACATTTAGAAAGCATTTTAAAACGTTTAACAGTTTTACAATGTAGAAGAATGCTTGAAGCGCGTTACGGCCGTCCTGCGGAAGTTTCACTTGAACACGCTAGACGCGTTCCGGACGATGAAGAGGTTAATAGACACAAGTATAATTATAAACTTACTATTGTCAAACCTTATGAAAAGAATGCTAAGTACTTGGACCATACAACGGATGAAGAGATTCTTAGCAATAGGCACATCCACACTCTGGAGGGAAGTTGCAGGAAAAGGCTAAATCTAGTAAAATACATTTCTGGGCAAAACTGGGGAGCAGATGCCCCAAATCTTAATATAATTTATACTTCCCTTATTAGATCCATCTTGGAATATGGCTGCCCTATTTATTCCTGTGCTTCAGATTCTAATCTCAGTAAGCTGGAAAGAGTTCAAAGTCAGTGCGGAAAAAATAATTTCCTCCAGCCACTGAGTACTAGAAGAAAATCATGTCTTGTTAAATATTATAATAAGCTTTTTTATGATGACCAGAATAAAATATCTTCCTATCTAGAGAATTGGGTCAATAACCAAAGACTGAAGAGAAGCAGTCAGTTTTCTCAAGCAGCTTTGTAAAGTTTTGTTAATTTGCTCTCCCATTGTTGGATTGAAAGTCATTCTCGGAGGTCATGCTTTAACCCTGTCTATGACTTTAATGGCATCCATTTTTACACTGAACTTTTGAACCAAGTTCATAAAAATGCTGACAACCCTGAATTCACGTGAAAGATTTCTCTGGACACTTTCAATCATATAGCTAAAGATGCTCCTCAAACATATACAGATGGCAGAAAAAGTGATCATGGCCATTTTGATTTAGTGGTACCTTCATCAGGACTTCTACTTCTACTTCGAATTAAAAATAAAAATTCTTGGTCTGTGTTCAGATCTGAGCTCATCGCTATCGAAAGAGGCCTCAGCTATGTGGAGAATAATGTTGAACCTGATTTTGTGAATATATGAATTTAACTGACAGCTGATCATCAGTTTAACATCCAAATGATTGGACAGAGGTTGGGGACAGGGCTGGCATATCTATCCTGAACTTACTTTCTAGGCTTTCAGTTAACTCTGAGGTGCATGTGCATTAGATTCCCTCCCATGTGGCCATTAGTGGCAATAAGACCGCACACTGCCTGGCAAAGACTGCTGCTTTACAGACTTCTTAGATAAGCTTTGCACCTACAGTGAGATGTTTTCCGAGTTAAGAAATAACTTAAGGATCTCTGGAGTTTTCCTCCAGTAAATGACTGGTACTCGAGTGTTCACCCTGGTACAGCCCTAATTTTGGGGGTCACAGAAGGCAGCATAGTTTTACCAGTGGCCACAGAGTTGCATATCACGTTTTACCAGTGGACTTTGGAAGA